ATCTTCTAGCCCATATTGTGAGACAGTCAATCATTCACATCTTCTAGCCCATATTGTGAGACAGTCAATCATTCACATCTTCTAGCCCATATTGTGAGACAGTCAATCATTCACATCTTCTAGCCCATATTGTCAGACAGTCAATCATTTATATCTTCTAGCCCATATTGTGAGACAGTCAATCATTCATATCTTCTAGCCCATATTGTAGGACAGTCAATGATTCACGTCTGCAAGTCCACACTGCAGGGCCGTTGACCATTCATATTTCCAGCCCGAATGGTGAAACAGTCAATGATTCACGTCTTCTTCTAGCCTAGATGGTGGGAAAATCGACCACACATCGACGCACATTTCCTTCCTATACTGTGGTACAGTCGACCATTCTCATATCTTCTACCGTCACATGGGGAAATAGTCAATCATTCACATTATCAGCCCACTTGATGGGACAGATTATCATTCACATTAATGACCCACATGGTGGGACAGATTACCATTCATATTAATGACCCACATATTGAAATAGTCAATCATTCACATTATCAGCCCACTTGATGGGACAGATTACCATTCATATTAATGACCCACATGGGGGGACAGATTACCATCCATATTAATGACCCACATGGGGGGACAGCTAATCATTTATATTATTGACCCACATGCCTGTCCCCGTCGTAACAGTTCACAATCCTCCATTGTATCACCATTCTCTAATTTATCACCACCCCCCCTCCCCCCCCAACTGTATTACCATTCTCTGATGTATTACCATCCCCCTCTGTATCACCATTCTGTTAAATGTCACCATCCATAGCTGTATCACCATTCTGTTATATGTCACCATCCATAACTGTATCACCATTCTGTTATATGTCACCATCCATAGCTGTATCATCATTCTCTGATGTATCACCACCCACACTGTATCACCACATGGATCGTTGGTGTTGGCGGGTGCTCTGGTGTGGTTTGCTCCTTGTTTCCTATCAAACATCTATTGCCCTTACCTCTCCTTCTTTTTTGTGTTTGTTACTCCCTTGTAATACTTCTAATCTTCAGCACTTATATGACCTAATTATGTCACAAGTGCCGTAAAACACTTACTAAAATGAAACATCTAATCTATCACCCCCCCTCCCCCCCAGTATTACCATTATCTACCGTGTCAACATCCCCCAAATTGCCACTATCCCTCAAGAGGTCATTATCTCCCTGTGTATTTCAC